AGCCGAGGATGCAGCCAAGGCTAAGGGGGTGGTGCAGGAGATGAAGACTGAGAAATTTGTTCACTTCCTGCATTTCATGTTGGACTACAGTACCATTTTATCCAAGTGCTGTACTGATTTTCAGCATGATAACCTAAACATCACACGAACAAATCAGTTAGTTGAGAGCACAACATCACGCTTACTCAGCCTGAAAACACAACCAGGAGAATATCAGAAAACCTTGGACACAAAGTTCACAGCGAACCAGGATGGTAGCATTTGCTGCTGTGGAACTCGGCTAACAAAAAGTCAGCGACCTGCTAGCAGAGGTGAGGGCACAGACAAAGACACCTTTGACACCCCGACAAGAACAAAGAGCAGTGAAATGGAGGGCTACTGAGCCAACAATCCCTTTAACATTAACTAGTAATGACTTCATGAACTTTTTCACAAATAAAATTTTTATCATTAGAGAAAAAATTACCAATAATCATCCCACAGATGTAATATTATCTACAGCTACTCTTAGTACCATTGATGTTAAGTTGGACTCTTTTTCTCCAATTGATCTTTCTGAGTTAACTTCAATAATTACTTCCTCCAAACCATCAACGTGTCTTTTAGACCCCATTCCTACAAAACTGCTCAAAGAAGTCCTGCCATTAATTAATGCTTCAATCTTAAATATGATCAACTATCTCTAATAATCAGCTATGTACCACAGGCCTTCAAGGTGGCTGCAGTTAAACCTTTACTCAAAAAGCCATCTCTAGACCCAGCAGTCTTAGCTAATTATAGGCCAATCTCCAACCTTCCTTTCATATCAAAAATCCTTGAAAGAGTAGTTGTCAAACAGCTAACAGATCATCTGCAGAGGTTTATTTGAAGAGTTTCAGTCAGGTTTCAGAGCTCATCACAGCACAGAAACAGCTTTAGTGAAGGTTACAAATGATCTTCTTATGGCCTCTGACAGTGGACTCATCTCTGTGCTTGTCCTGCTAGACCTCAGTGCAGCGTTCGATACTGTCGACCATAATATCCTATTAGAGCGATTAGAACATTGTAGCATTTGACCCAATAAACGTACGCAGGAGCGATTATTTTGACAGCAACACTTTTATTTGGAGTTTGTGGTTTCATGCACAGCCCCTCCCGCTCTCTTTGTGCTGTCACGTCCGCTCCCCCTCCGACTGTCACTGCCAACATAAAAAGACACACAATCAATGACAGAACCCCGCACACCTGTTGACCCCGCCCCTGTGCCGCCCCGGGAGCTCACTGTGTCACCCCTCCTCTGCAGCTGGCCAGAGACCACGCCCACGCCACAAACCTGCTGTAGGTATTACAGGTACTGCGCTGCAGTGGTTTGTATCATATCTATCTAATAGACTCCAGTTTGTGCATGTAAATGGAGAGTCCTCTTCACACACTGAGGTTAATTATGGAGTTCCACAGGGTTCAGTGCTAGGACCAATTCTGTTTACATTATACATGCTTCCCCTAGGCAGCATCATTAGAAGACATAGCATACATTTACACTGCTATGCAGATGACACCCAGCTCTATCTGTCCATGAAGCCAGATAACACACACCAATTAGTTAAACTGCAGGAATGTCTTAAAGACATAAAGACCTGGATGGCCGCTAACTTTCTGCTTCTTATTATGCATTGCATGCACAATCAGAGAGAGCAGATTTCTCCTGTTTTGGCTTCCTGTTAAATCCAGAATTCAAAATCCTGCTCCTCACATACAAGGTCTTCAATAATCAGGCCCCACCCCATCTTATCTTAATGACCTTGTAGTACCATATCACCCTATTAGAGCACTTCGCTCTCGCTCTGCAGGCCTACTTGTTGTTCCTAGTATGTAAAAGTAGAACAGTTTGATTCAGTTTAATGACAGTTTGGATCCAATTTCATCTCCAGGTGTAAGAGTCAGAAAGAGCTTCCTGATATTTCTTTGTTCAGTGCAGTGAATCTCTATTAAATGGATAATGAATGAATGAGGGTAGGAGCTCTGAGTTTGACTCACCTAGGAGCAGAGAGACATACACAGTCTTCGCCCCATCGTATCTTAATGAAAGCATGGTTTGGAGTAAAATAATAAGTAACAGCCTCAGTCAGATGAAGAATCTTTGTTTACTTGTCATCAATAAAAGGTTGCTCTTTCCGAGGTTAAATAAATGATTTTTGCACGCAACTTTTGTGTGTCAGTGTGTATTTTATGATGATGTGAATTTATCTGCTGCCTCTTAACAGACCTCAGCATGAACAGATATTTTATATTTGATTTATTTGAGCTGATAAAATTAATGTTCAAATGCTGCAGATTGTTCAGTTCATTAACTGTAGCTCTGTCCAGCAGCAGAACTCCTTATTTTTAGTGATTTCACTTGGAAATCCTTGGACTGAAGTTTATGAATTTATTTTTAACATGAAAATAATATTTTGCATTGAAGACAACTAATTTATTTTTGTACCCGCTGTTAGAGTTCTTGGGAAGAAAGTCAGAGTCAGAGATCAGTGCTTCTCTAGTAAAAACTAAATGTTTTTATTGACTGTGAATTTATTGATTATCTGAATGTAGTGAAGGTAGTGAATGTATGAAGTAACTACAATAACTTGATGAGCTGCAGGAACATTAGAGCATTTCCCTCTGACATGTGTTTAAAAGTACAATAAAGAAAAAGGAACTCTCACTTATGATATCTGTGCTTTCATTCCCCTTACTTGTCTGTGTGCGTCCTGACCACATGCTGTAACTGTGTTGGAACAAAAACAGAAAGCAGAAGGTAAAACTCTCCAATAGCCAATAAGAAAAAAAGCTGCTGATGTGTCAGCTGTTACTACAGACAACAGTTTGGAAGTGAACAGCAGCAGAGGGTCAGGTACTAGAGTTCGTTATAGTACCACAGTAACTGAAGTTTTCTGACTGCTTTTAGCTGCTCTCTTGTTCACAAAATGTTCCTGCAGAGGGTCTTCAAATCAGGACTCTTTTGCTTGTTAGGCAGATGTATAACCCACAACACTGTGTCTGTATAGGTTAAAAAAAAAAAATCAAATAATAAAACAATGCATTAAACAAAAACTTGAAAAATTGGAGCTGGAATTCAGCAAGGATTAATAGTCTAAGCTATTTTTATGCAAGCTGAAAAATATCTGACCCCGGAGACATCCTGGTGTGAAGTGGACATCATTCTAACTTGTGATGTCTGACCTTTTGAAGCTGAACTATATTTGTGTGGCTTTAGTACGTGTGCATGTATGTTGGTCAACACACATTTTTGTTGGTTCTTGTAATAAAAACAGAAAGTGGAAACAGCAAACCACAAAGCCAGCTGTTAATGACTGATTAGTTGTTAGAGGAAGGTGACTGAAGAAGAAACACCCAATGCATCATGGGAATCCCCCAGCAGCCTACACCTATTGCAGCATAACATAAAGGGTGGATTCAGGGTCACCCTTTTCCCCTCTTCTGTCTTATCCCATCACCGCATCAGCTTTGAAACATATGTCTATTTCTTCTTCCTATCCTTATTGCCTTGGTCAGGCTTGTTCTTCTTCTATTTCTTTACTTTTTATTTACATCTACTTTATTTACATCTACTTTATTTACATCTACTTTATTTACATCTACTTTGCCTCCCTGATCCCTGGAGGCAGGGGACATTATTCAGTGTATTCAGTTTTAGAATTCTTACTCTGTATTAATTGAAGTTAGACTTGCTGAAAGTGGAAATGCTTTATTTTAATAAACAACACTGTCATGTGTAAAACAAGGGTGGCAAGACATTATTTTAGGGGCGCACAATATCACAACAGTAGATCTGCCCTGTCCTCCAGCTGATTCATTTGAATAACACTGCCTGTTGTCGCCTCGTCACAAGCTTTTTGAGATATGTTGCTTACATGAAATTTGAAATTACTGAACATTTTCCCAGTTTAGGCATTTTAATATATTTTATATTACATATTGAATAAAATATGAGTTTATGATATTTGCAAATCAGTGTATTTTATATTTATTTAAATGTTACACAGAGATAAACTTTTTGGTATTTTGTTAAACAAAACTCTTACACACTGTCACTGTGTTGTTTTTCCTTATGTTTGTTAATAACAGTCTCCATCATATAATGGTGATTTCTGCTGTAATTAGATCTCAGAATATGGATATCATGTCATTAATTCAGGGTTGAGTGATGTAGAGAAGCCAAATGCAGGGCAAAGGCAGGCATAACAACAAAGGACAAACTGTTGTTACTTGGCCTATAGCAGTAAAAAAAAAGAAGTAAATGAAAAATCAAAGAAACAAATAATCATAAAAAGCCTACTGCAGAATAGTGACATGTGATAAACAACTTTGATCGTTTACAATTATAAATAAAGTTTATTTAGACTTAACCTGCTTCGCCGTCTTCATTATTAAACTAGTTGCTGATTCTGTTTGAAGAGTTGCCAGGATCTGGTTTAAATAATGTTTAGATCTTTGTTGCTTTTTAAAAAAGATTATTGATAAACCTGCTTCGGGAGATTTTTAGACCACAATAATCATAAAGTCTGATATGATGACAAACTTAATGTTTTGTCTTATCTCAACAGCTAACCATTCAGTATTATCACCAGTCATCTGAAAAAACAAAAACCAAAAGAAAAAATCCCAAAAGGTTGATTGTTTTCATCTGGACATAGAGTTTACAGTTTTCTCCAACTGAAAAAGTTACATCCAGATGAAAAGAATCAACTTTTTGGGATTTACTTACCTGGATGATTGAGCATGCATCAAGGCAAAAGAAAAAACAACTAACACATTATTGCCAAGCATGAAAAATGGAAAAAACAACAAACACTGCTGACGTACCCAAGCTAAAGTTATTGAAAGACCTCAAAAGTATACACAGGTGACATTAAAATACAGTCTATAACCTGCTTTAAACCTGTGTAGTCTGGTATCTGTGGCATCAATAAGAGCTGCAGTGTGACATTAACGTGTTGATGCAGGTAAACAAACACAGCTGAGAGTCTGAGTCATTTATTTTGGTTTGAAGATGTTCAGTAAAAATCTGTAAATGTGAATCAAGCAAGAAGAGAGAAGACAGTCACTCATAGACCTGGATTACAGGGATTATATTACATGGATTATATGAGATTACACAGTGAAGCATCAAATAGCAAGGTCCACAAAGAATCTGATCCAGGATCCAGTGAAACCACAACGATCACTGAGATGGTTCTGGATCAAGTCTACACCAGCACAGTGTCAGAGTCCAGACAGAGATCATCATCATCATCATCATCATCAGTCTGAACACAGGAAGCAGCTGCTTTTATAACATCAGACACAAACAGGACCAGGATCCATCCTTAATTTGTGGGAACCAGGATACGACCTGGAGAAAAAATAAAAGACGAGGACAGAGTCACCAACACACTCTGAAAATACATCCTGGATGCTGGTTTCATCTGGTCTAAACTGGTTTCAGGTATGAACTGGTCTGTGAGTGAGAGTCCTGCTCTGACCTCGGGCCTTCCTCTTGTAGTAGATGAATCCAGCCAGAGATAAGATCAGACCCAGGATCAGTCCTGAGGCTCCGATGGCGAGTTTGTTCCTCTCTGACTCAGGCATGGACGGGTCTGAGGACACACAGGTGAACAGTCATGCAGGTGTACAGACAGACAGGTGTGTGCAGACAGACAGGTGTGTAGATACAGACAGGTATTTACCCCAGTCAGTGATCAGAGGTTCCTTCAGGCTGGCGTGCTCCACCTTACAGGAGATCTTCTCCCCAGACCTTCAACACAAACATCAGTGACTCTCAGAGAATTAAGTCAGTAAATGCATCGTGAACAGTGCTGTGATGGTACTGTAGTGGACTTTAGTGTCCACATTTATCACACAATGTGCTCGGGTCCAAACAGCAAAGGAGTTTGCTGGGTTATATCAGGGCCCTGTTGTGATGCCTTTGGGGTCAAAAGACAGTAATTAGAGCATGACGTGATTAGGTTACATAAGCAAGGTGATAAATAAGTTCATAGTTAACAAACATGATAGGTAAGTTCATGCTAAAAACGGTTAAAATGTTTTGGGTTTGAAATCTGATCAGAGTGAGACCTCCTTATCATAAGTGATCTTTGTGTATTATACGTGCGGCAATGGGAGCGAGTGAGCGCTCTGAAACATGAACCTATCTTTGATGCATTTTTTCTCCGGTAGTGTTGTGAACAAGTGTTGAGTGCTTCAGCAGAATTAAGAGTAAACAAGCTCATGTAGATGTGCCCTACATGCTTGTGCCTTGGGAAACGGTCGTCTTTGTGAGTACTACTAGGTTCAGAAAGAATTTGGAAATGTGTTACATGGACTCAGATGTGATGCCAAAGTAATGCACGTGTCTAAGCTAGGCTAATCATTAAGTCTGTCATTAAGATGTGTGCATTAGCTAGCAATTTATTTTTCATATTTCAGTTACAAAACAAGGAAATGCTTTGAGAGTGAAAAAGGTTTAAAAAGGTGTCAGTAAAGCAAGAAAAGCAAGCCTTGTGTGGAGATTTCTTCTATTTTGTTCGCTGGCTGTCTAGCTTCACATTATTATGTTGTGAGGACAGCACACCTGTACTATGAAGCAAGTTCATGCTCTTTCCGTTATATAGATTCATGTATTCACTCAGAGCTGATTATCAACTAATTTAACCTGCATGTTCACATAAAAGAGGCAGGTCTAACAGCATCTAACCAATCTAAAAGATCATACGACTCTTCTTCCACAGAAAATGATCCCTATGAGTGTCACTTATTCCAGAGATGTTATCAGATTGTGATTAAAATTCTATAAAGAGCATAAAATCCAATAATAGATAAACTGAGAGATGAAGCAGCAGAAACTGGTTAATCTGATCATTTATGGCACAGAGCAGGAAAATAAATATTTGAATTACAGTGATGTCTTTTGTGTCTGCGCATGCTCAGTACTGCTGTTTGTTTCTAAGGTGACAGCTGCACATTAAAACTGTGAAACTTTAAACATGAAAACATTAAAGCTTCCTGTCCTTGAGCTTGATGAAACAGACATAACCATCAGCTCAGAGGGGAATGAATGTGATTGGTTGAACAGGTATTATAGGTGCGTGTTCTGTGTTTGCAGCAGTGGGAAAGAGACTTGTCATCTGATTAGAATCTGCTCTGGAGCAGGTTAGGTTTACAGCATCAGTTACCATGGCCATTTAAGTAAGAAGTCAGCCACTTTGTTGGGAAACATACAAACTTGTAAGAAAACGTCACAATAAAGACGTTTTTAATCTGCTTAGTCCAAAAACATCTGGAAAGTCTCCAGTTGTTTTAATTTATCTAATTAATGTCTGCAGTGAGCCAATAGGATGTCAGTTATAACCCTACAACCTTTCCCTCTAGGATTATTAAAGTTTCTGATTCTGACTACTCAGTGAAGGAGTAGTGAAGGAGTAGTGAAGTAGTCTGACGACCGAAGACGTCACTTGGATGATGGTGAAATGTTTCTCCCACTGGAAATGCTGCGTCCAGATGAACACAATCAACTTTCTAGTATTATTCATAATGTTACTAGCAATGTTTTTTCCTTTCAACAACTAGTAATAGAATGTTCAGCACTATTATTGTTATTATGTATCTGTAACATGCAACTTCTTTCGGTGCTATGCTACTGGAAACTGAATTTCCCGGAGGAACCCACCCGAGGGATTAATAAAGTTTCATCTAATCTAATCTAATCTAATCTATTAAAAGGTTTGAGTATATCTGTGTTTGAACCTGTGTGGATCAGAGAAAATCCAAAACTCACTCATGTATGCTTGTACATTCATTCCAGTCTGGAAAAATATGTTGTAACCTTCAACAATGTCTTTGATTTTCCAAATAAATGTTTACAATATTGTTTTGGTCCATAATTGAATTCTTTTTGGGTCCTACAACAGCTATTCTGTGGATGGATTTGGACTCACTTGGGTGTGTACTCCAGGTGTGAGTGGGTCTGGTAGTACCAATCACCATCTGCCATCTCCTCAGTGGAAGTGACATCAGAGGTGACTTCCTTTCCATCTCTCAGCCAGCTCACTTTGATCTTACTGGGAAAGAAGTCATAGACACTGCAGACCAACATGGCAGGATGGTGACCAGAAGACGCTGCTGATGACTGGATTCTGACAGTAGGTGAAACTAGAGCACACAGACAATACAAGTATAAGTAGCAACAGTGGAGCTTGGAGAAAGGATTCTGCTATTTTAAGATCAAAATTAGCTTGACTGGGGGGGAAATTACCAGACGAGTATTTTTAGTTTATCTCACACCTATAAACCACAAAATGTTTGTCTGAAACAGCAGGAAATAATTCCATCCATCCATCCATCCATCTTCATCCGCTT